TAGGTTGCATTTTCTTTCTGGTCACGTTTACTTTTCGTGTTATACCTTTTTGTACCATATTATCTCCAGATTGCTATTCTTTTGTGTTGCTTTACGTAGTCAGCCTTTCTTTTTAGTTATAAGTTATTTACTATCAAATATGAATCACTTGCTCTTTTTTGATATCAACGACGATTATAATGTTTTTATAAGCAATAACGAGTCTTCTATGTTTTCCATAGAGTTTGACACACAATGTAATAATAGAGAGAAGGTGACAGAAGAGAATGTATCAGATTTGGAGAGCAAAAATGAAAAAAATACAGAATCAGCATATTCATTAGTTAAGACTTAAGAGAATGAGTAGGATTTGGAAAGTGAAAATGAAGAAAATATGGAATCTGTATTTATGTTAGTTGAAAATAAAATATTTGAATCTTGGGAAGCTGCTAATAAGTAAGTGCATGTGAAAAAATCAATTTAAATCCATGTTAGTTTTTTTTTTTTTTATTAGAAATTGAGTTTTAATCTTATTAAAATATTTGATTTTAGATGGTTTGAGCTTTATAGCAAAGTGAATAGGTTCGTATTTTGTGTAGCTCATAGTGACATTGACAAAGATGATCAGCAGCCATAGCACCGTGTATATTCATGTACGAAAGAACAGAAATATATGAAATATAAAGAAGCGCATGTGCTAAATAAAAGAAATAAGAAGTATAAAGCAGATAGTTGTCCCTATTATATAAATATATATCGTTAGAAGTAGAATAATATGATATGAATTTCAAATATTGTTGGTATGCATAATTATGAAATAGTTAAAGATATTACCATGGCTGAACCAAAATACCAGTAGTTAACAGAAGATATGCAAAATGATGTTTGATTACTTGCATCTTGCAATATACGAGCTAGAGCAATTATTAAGGTTTTGCAACAGAAGTATCCTGAGAAATACATTCATGCTCGTAATGTGTATAATTTGATATAAACGATTCAGTATGAAAAACGTGTAGTAGGCAATGCAGGTAGTATATATCTGGAGTTAATTAGAAAGCAACATATGAATCTGATTATTACGTTGATACTAAGTTTGAAGGGACAAACAATCACTTGGTTGGTCTTTTCTAGATGCAACCAAGTCAGATTCAATTGTGGAGCAGGTTTCATGATATGGTTCTTATAGACACAATCTTTAAGACTAATCGTTATTTGATGAAGCTTTGCGTTGTGATAGTAATTGATAATCATAATTGTTCATATTTAGTAGCAACTGCAGTTATTTTAGATGAAGCGAAAGAGACTTTTTCATAGGTTTTAAAAAATTTAATTAAAGCATTAAATGGTTTGGTGCCAAAACTATTATTTACAGATGCTGATTGTGGAATGGTGGCCGCTATAAATGAAACATTACCAAGTACAAAGCACCATTTTTGCCTTTTTCACATTAGAAAAAATTTTGAAAAATGGTTTCTGAGTAAATATAAAGGAGAAAAGTGGAAAGAATTCTTTAAAACATTCTGTTATATATGAAATAGCTGCATTAAAATAAAATTTGAGAAACGTTAGGCAGATATATTACAAAAATATCCTAATTCTGCATCTTATTTGAAGAACCAACTTTATCCTTGTTGAGAGGCATGAGTACTTTGCTTTACCCATAGATCGTTTAATGCAGGTGTTCAAACTACGCAACAGGTCAAATCTTACAATAGCATCATC